CTGGAGTTACCTTTGCATTGAGGAGGCGGACCAGACCAGCGTGAAGAACTGCAGTAGAGTATGGGATTTCCAACCAGAATATATCCTCTGTCACATTCATATTTAGCCTCATCAGGTGCGAATGTGTGTGTACTTAGTTTAGGACGTCCATGGTCAATGACAGGAGGATAATAGCAACCTTGTTGGGAAGACATAAAGTGAGAGAGCTTGAGCTTAGAGGACATAAACAACAACACATCCCAGAATCTGTGTGCTTTCTGTAGGCTCTGTCCTGTCCTGCCATCTTCTCTGCCCAAGGGATCACTTAGCCAAACCCAAGTACCTGTGCTGCCCTCCCAAACCCTCATGATGAAGAACATGATGGCACCCTAGTTGGTCCATTCTCCATATTGGGTCATTGACCTGTGGGGTAACAGCAATCACATGCAAGAAGGACAAGTAGAAACTATTGATCTGCCCCAGACCCCTCCCTCTTAAAGCAAGAAAAGTCAATTTAAAATATATATCATATTAATCATCACTCTATAAATTTACTTTAAAATAAAGTAAGGAAGAAATTAGTGCCACTCTTAAAGAACTAAAGATGTAGAAGTGGTCATTCTCATCATATTTCTATTTATTTCCCCAGTCTGTCTACTACAAAAATTAGAATTCTGGACAATTACAGTAGACTGTTGAACACTCAATATTTTAGCCCCTACTACAGACACTGTACCAGATATGGTAACTTTGCTTTAATTTGTCTTCAGGGAAATGAGGCCACTGTTTCAGCAAAGGCCTTCTTTCCCACCCTAAAAAAAAGAAGATCAAAAACAATCTGCTCACACATGAAAGGGTCAAGATCATACATTTGCAATTTTACACTTGTTCTATGAAAACTCACCTGCTCCTCTCATAATAGTCTGAAGTTACATGCGCATCTGAACATATAAAGAATATCACATTTATCCAGTATATCAGTGTCATCATATTTACTCTACTTGAATGAGCAATAAGATGCTAGCACGATGT